AAATAAATTTTTCAAAGAATTATAATTCAATAGCAAACGTAGAAAATTTATAAAATATGATAAAAAAAGAAATTGAAGAAATATTTTTCTATAAATAATTTTCACGTAAAAGTTTAGGGACCTTTTTTTTCTTAAAATTAATTTTAAACGAAGAAATTTTAGTAAATAAAATGATTCCTATAAATAATTTTAAAATAAGCGCCTTGTTTTATAGCAAGTTTCTGAGCAAGCATAAGTTGTTCGGTAGTTTGATTTTCAATATCGAGATTTTCAATTTTATTTTTTATTACCGGCGTCCTGAACGCGTGAATTTTCTCATTAAAAAAATTCTCATCGCTCTTTTTTAAAGTAAATTTCTCGCATTTCAGAACATTATGAACATTTTGTTTTTTTTCTTGATTATTAAAATTTCGAGTTAAAGGAGTTTGATAAGACGAATTGCTTATATTATTATTTTTATTATTATTTTCTTGTTGATTTATAATAACACGAGTGGATTTATAAATTTTCAGCGAATCATCCGAATTCAACTGATCTGTTTTACATGGTGAAGAATAAAAAAGAATTTCTGCGAATTTAAAAAAAAAAAATCTATAAAAAATTTATTTTAAAAAAAAATTAATACCTGGATTCACAGTTAAACCTTTTTTATGCTGTAAAGGCGTCCGAATAATTCCTTCAGTAGGTGAACGATGGTCAGAAATTTCAGGCATACTTATAAAAAAAGTAAAAATATAATAGAGTTAAAGTCTATTATAGCAAAAAAAATTTGTGAAAAGATATTTTTATTATGGCATTAGGAAATTAAATAAAAAAGAAGTATATAAAAGTTGAGTAGAGTAAATATACTTTATTTTAGTAAAGAGTTTAGGGATACGTACTCGCAATGGTTCACGGATTTTATAAACTGAGAAAGCATGAAACAATTTTTTTTATAACAATAATAGTAAAGTTTAGAACTTTTACTAAGAAAAACTTTTCACTCGCAAAATGGTCTAAAAATGCTTTATAAAAGCCTCAATGCGTCTTAATTAGTATTCACGCTAATCGCAGTAATAAGGATTATCGGTTTAAAATATTTACTTTTTGCTATTGTTAAAATATAATTCATTTCAGGCTTTTAACTTTTCTTTTTAAAATATTTAATAAAGTTTTTATCCAACAAAAATAGTTATTTTTGGTTATTATTAAAATGAATTTTTAAAGTCTTTTTTTACTTGTTCTTTCTATTAATATTTATTGTTTTTATTAAACAAAAATAGTTTTTTGTTATTATTAAAATAATATTTGCTCCAGCTTTTATCTTATTTTTTTAAATTAATTTGTCAAAGTTTTTATCTAGAAAAAATAGTTTTCTCTGTTATTATTAAAATATAATTTTTATCAGGTTTTTCACTTATTTATAACTTCGTTAAAGTTTAAAATAAACCAAAACTAGTTTTTGTTAATATTACACGGGTTTTTCAGAAATCTGGACTACAGTTTAGATTTTTCTATAAAAATAGCTGAGATTAGAGCAGCAAAACTTTATTATTATATATCTAATAACTAGTTTAGTGAGTAACTGATAATAGAACTATCAAATTTCAAATACAACGTTTTTTATATACTGTTGATTCTTTTATGAAGGAACTCAGAGAGCCTCTGAACAACATCAAAGTCTATTATTTTCAAGGAGTATTTGCTACGTTTTATTGACTGCGGTTTGTTTTTAGCTCGCCACCCTCTAGCACAAACTTTTTCTTTCAACAATGACTAAAATTCCACGACGGGAGATTCAGGGCAATTATCCTAATAAGTTTTTTTTTATCCTAGCAGATCATCAGTCACTATTTTAGAATTATGTGAGCTGGCTAGATTGGGCCAAGGTACATAGTGATAATTTTTGTATTTCCCACGAATATAGGAATTAATCTTTAATAGTCAATTAAGTACACTTTGAAGTTAATTGCAATTCCAGATTTATAAATGAACGACTCAGTACCTTTGGTTCGGCATCGACCCATTCCAAATACTTTGCCTCCAAAAGTTTGCTTTTGTGGTAAACTTAACACCGAAGATGCTTGTGTAAAAACGACTAATTCCATTAATAGTAATGTGAATGAGTAATATAAGACTCGCCACCCAAAGAAAGGGCATAACTTAAAAATTTTCAACAAAAAAAATATCATTGTTTATTCTTAAAAATAATATTGCACAAAAAGATAAACTTACCCAAATTTACTTGCGACTAAGCGAAGACAACACGAATCACTGTCTTCAAACACTTTTTTTGACTTGCCGGAATGGCTGTTTGTTAATTTTGACAGCCTCCCAACCAGTTTCTTTTTTTTCTGTCCGCGCTAACTCCACTTTCAAATTGATGCAGTAGATTTTAATACTTTTACAGCAGCAAAATATATTTAAGTAAATGTTTTTCTACGATCTCTGTTTTGCTGAAAACTTTTGTCGCGCGATTCCTCAGAGAGGCTCTTCCAACGCCAATTTTGTAATCTGCTGAAACAGTTTGAAATTTTAACTATAATCCCCAAGTACTTTATTTCCAACTACTTCCGTTAAAAGATACATCAGATTCTTTAATACTGTCGTTGCGAAAATATGTTATAATAAATTGATCAGATTTTTAAAAACACCGTTATTTTGAAGCACAAAGCGAATATTTATAGGTAGCGTATAAAACGGCCATGTAGAATTAAAAAAAATTTTCTTTTTAACAAAACTTATTTTTTAATTAATTAATAAAACTATGTGTTATTATTAACGTGAATAATAAAAACTTAATAACTTCGCTATTACAATACCATAAAGTAAACAACTCCCTTTAAAATATACAGATTATAAAAAGTTTTTGAAAGTTTATTTTATAGCTTAACAAGCCTTTAAAGAAAACAATGAAAATTCTGTTAAAATTTTGGTCGAGAGTATTAATGCTTAATTATGCAGGAAATAAAATAGAAGCGGTTAAAATAAGGTATGAATTTTTATTTGATACATGAGTAATAATATTTTAAAAAATATAAATTTAATTGTATTATTAATATTAATGTTCCTTTTCATTAAGCTTTGCGGTAAAAATATAACTTATATCTATATTCTTATTAAAAACTGCCATTTGGTTTACCTTAAATTAGTTTTAGTTTTCTTTCCGTTTCCAACTTTTAGGTTTTTTGCTTTCGTTCACAGATTCTAAATAAAGTTTAAAGTTTAATAAAAAATTTAGTATAGTGAAAGTTATAAAAAAGAAATTTCGCACGAATACTCCAGAATTATGTCATTAGAGTTATGCAAGTCTTGTTAGATTTATATAATTTTAAATGGCGTTTCGTTGGGCTCGATCGAGTTTCCAACGAATACACGAGCTCCAAAACAGTTTTTTCTATAGTCCACGAGGACAAGTAAAACTACTATCTTAAAATGAGCTTCTTAGCTTTTGACCATCATGCTAAGAGTGCATAGCGAGGACAGCGGTATTGTGTCTCCCCACAACTTATGAGTGAGTTCTTCCGCTAAACGGCCATTAGTGTGTCCAGCTATCCGTTCGAAGAGGGCGACGGCATCACTTTTAAAGATATTGGTTTAGCAGCTCAATTTGTAGTTCGTTAAGAGATGTAACCAGCGCACTGTCGCATTGGGAGAAAGGACGTAGTAGCCGATAAATTGTAGGCTCAAACAGGAGATGCTATGTCATTATCGACCGAATGCACGGTACATAGAGCCGTCGCCTATTGTAAACAAAAGCTTACTTTTGCTGCAAAATAGAGTATAAAGTATCTGGACCACTGCCTTGACCTTCACTACCACGTAATTTACGTGTGGACGTCACGACAGCTTAGAATGTATAATGGCCCAACATTTTATCTAAGAACACTACGAATATCCATGCCATTAAAAGTTAATAGTGTGGGCAGTGCATGGTGTTTTCGTTAAAAAAAGGGTCTTGCTCTTTGCTACTAAATGAAGAGGTCTCATTGATGACAATAGCTGAGAAGGGCCTCGAGATAAAAGTGTAGGTGTTGACATAGTAAAACGGGTGGCTTTGACGATGAATAAACCATCATATGGCAATCCGCGTGTGATGGTGAACCGGCAGAGAAATGTCGCTCGTATAGTGCGCGAATAGCAGCAGTGATTAAAGAGAGCTTTACGAAACTCCCCTCGAGAGATAGCAAGGCGACGAGAGTGCAGCCCATACTCGCACTTTAAAGACCCGACCCTTTGAGTATGACCTGGGCGCTTCTCGAAAGCCGCGGGGTAGAGCAGGTAGCTTTCTTAACAGGCTATAGTCGGTCAAAAGCCTTTTATCATCGAAAAATACAGCGCCACTGACTTTCTTTAAAATTTAAAGCTTAAGTCTTCCATTCGGTTAGGCGAAGAATTTGTGGGTCATTAATATCCCTTGCAAAATTCAAACTGAAAGTTCGGTTAAATTAGAAAAGCGTCCGCAACCACCTTCGCTCGGTTAAGTCTCAACGCTTCAGATATCTTACCAACTGCCGATAAAAGGCTGATGGTCGATAGTCACGAGGCTCTGTTGCCAATTGCTATAAACATCATGACTACCGTCATTTTTCTTCGCCGGAAATATAGGTCAACACCGAGTTGACGAGGCAGCAAAGATGATTCATAGCCGTCTCTTACAGTGGTTTCAAAATCAGCTCGGTAGAATTTTCATGATAGCTTTTAGCCAATTAGATTGTTACCCTAACGAGCAAAAATTACCATACTATATACTGTACCAAATGCATTGAAGCATTCGAAGTAAGCTCCGTCCTTCTCTTGTATTGACTATTTTTGAAAATACGTTACAACTCTTTTAACTTACAGTTTTTTGATTAACTTCCATTAAAGTTTGTGGTACTACTTAACCAATTATTGATTTTATAATAAAAATCAAATTTTATTTGTTTATAATTTAATACCTATAAAGTTCACAGTTAATAGCGTATAAGATTTTATTAAATACAAACTTTATTATTTTTATTATCCAATCCTTCTTTTTCTAAAGCGGCTGTTGCTATGTTTGCTATGTACTTGAACGTTAACAAAGCCGCAATAACCCCAACAAAAAGTATTAGCTGTCAACGTGTTAATATTATTATATTATAATTGTTACCGTTACTATTACTATACTTTCTTATAAGTAAAAACGCTCTCGTTTTCCGTAACGCGTTTCCCTAAACTTCCAATATGACAATAAACAATCGTTCCTGGTAAAACCTTCTTTGCAAGCAGTGTAAGAAGGCACGATATACAAACTTTTATAAATAAGAAAAAGAACCCCTAGCCACGTGGCTGCTACAAACTTCCAAAAATCGATAGACGTGCATCCAAGCAGGTAATTATTTAATCCAAATGGAAAAAGTGGAGAAAGACGAGTAAGAAATGTTATATAAAATCCTCTTAAGTTATAATATATAGTTATTAAATATTAATATTGTTAAAATATATAACTTTTTTAATAAAATAATAAAATCGTAAATCCTTAAGTCTAATAAATATATAAAAATCCTTTTAATGATAATCAGTATATAAGTTTTATATAATAATTAAAAAATCTGAATAATTAACTTTTATTTATTTTATAAATAAGTACGATTAAAATTATAAATACAAATTATATATAAAAATATAAAACTTTACTAAACCATAATAATAATTATTATTATAAAAACTTTACTGAACTACAATATAAACCAAGAATTATAATAAAATATTAAAGAACATGAAAGTTTACTAAGTCAAAGTAAAATACAAGTAAAGGTATAAAAAAAACTACAGAAAGTATTTAAAAACTTGACCCAAAATTTTTTTTACTATCAAGCAACGCAGTAAAAAAATATTGTAATAAGAATGATATATACCTCGTGAAATATATTATGAATATATAATAATAATAAAAAAAGAAATAAAAATAATAGTTACAAACCTTTTAGCAACGGCATTACTAATAAGTTCAAACTTTTCTCCGTACTTTTTAAATAAAAAACAATAAAGAAAACTGCTCACTAAATAACGTGAAGCACAAAATGCCACTCCTAAAAAATTAGTCCTAAATATCATCAATTAAATATAAACAGCAGCTGGTTAATAACTAAAGGATCAAATAAAAAAGTAAACCAACTTAACTGGCTGTTAATAAATTAATTCACGCCAAAAAAAATTGGTGTCTACCAAATAAAAACCACTACAGAAAATTTTAAGCAAATCGCCTAGCAGACCCAAATAAAATGGGCAAAAAGCAATAAAGTATGAGGAAAAAAGTATGGCTTGAAAGGAACATAAAGCTACAACAGATAATTAGTTAAAAGTGTCAGGCAATTTTAGTATTGTAGTATTGATGTAAGTGAACATCACCACTAATGGCAAACGTACTTAAGTTTTATGATAACTAAACTATTTCCTTCAAATATTTTAATTTTTGCTATGCGCAGTGCCGTATTTTATTTAAAAATAAAGAAAAACTAATAACTTTAATAATAGTAAAAATCAGTGGATAAAAAATCTTTTCAAATATTTTTCTCAGTAAAAAAAAAACGAATTATAATTACACTATACAATCCAATTTTTCCATTCTTGTTGTTTGATATAAAAAAAATCATAAAATTTTTAATTTTTTATGTATATAAATATATAAAAATATAATTATTTATATATAATTACCAGCAGAAATAGCTTGAGTAAAAGATATTAACAAGGACGCCTCAAAAGTACCATAAACAAAGCCACAAGTAATATGGAAACCCCATAAAGGGAGTAAAAAGACTGTTGAGAGTAAGTAAAGAGCAAATACGCAAAAATAGCCCCATTTCCCTGCCGGTTTATTATTATTAGTACTATAATTATTATTATTTTTATAATTACTTTTACTATAGTACTAATAGTAAACAACTATCAAAATATTACAACGCTAAAAAAAATAAATAATTAATTTTTTAATGAAATACTTTTCGTATATATATTGGCAGTAAAAAAAGGAAATGGTTATTCAAGTGATAGAAAAAACTGCACTTTCTCCTATAACATACAAAATTAAACTATATAAGTGTTATATAAATAAAAATTTAAACTTTCAAGGAACTAATTTTTAATGATTACCAAAAGAAAAAGAAATTTCAGCAATTATAATACAGTATAACTAATGAGTTGCTCATCAAATTGCTAATATAATAACATATAAAAAATAAAAAACTTATCAAATGCAATAGTATTATAAATAAGAAAAGTTTATATAATACTTTAAGTTATTAAAGTACTGTAATTTACGTAAATAATATTAAACCTTTCAAAATTCAGTAAAAAATTGGGGTAAATAAAAAGAAGAATAATACAGAAATAATAATTAAGTTAAATATAATAATATAAAAGACTAAAATAATATGTTAAAGTAAATTATTTCTAATTTAAAGTTATAAACTAAAACGTATAAGAGAAGAAAATAATTAATATTCAATTATTTAAACTGAAGGGATAACTTTCAAATTTTATAACATAAGAGAAAAGATTAAATAAAAGAAAATTTATAAATAATAAGAAAAAATAAATTTTATGTAGCTTTAATTATTTAAAATGTATAAAAATTTAACCAACTAAAAATGAAAAGATTTTTGGATAAAGGAAATGACAAAAAATTAAGTTACTTATTAAAATAATAAATTTGACAAATAAATTACTTTATAATTAAATTATTTATGTATAAACTGGAAAAAGTAAGATATGAAACTTTAAATAGAAGCTTTAATTAGAATATAATAAAAATTTATTATTCATAGTAAAAAAGTAATATAAAATTGTTGTTATTAATAAAACTCTTATAAAATAAAATTTTTCAGTTTATTTCAGAGCTTTAAAAGTTTTTAAAAAATAACTATATTTTATAGGCCTAAAAGTGTTACACAAAAAGGATATATAAAAATCATAAAATATATTATATGAAAAAATTGTTAAAGGCTAAATAGTAAATAGATAAAAAATTACTTGAAACTCAACGTATTTAATAAATAACTAATTTTAACTGTTTTAACCACATTTTCTAAAAAATATTTATTAAATTATTATAACAGAAAGAGACTAGATAAAAAAATATTAATTTATAAACGTATAATAACTAGCCCAGCTGCATTATTTACAAGAAGTTACCAGCTTTCATAAGAAATATATCTAAATTTTCTAAAATTTGTGTAGACTTCAAATAAAAATCTTGAATAGAAAATTTTTTCATTACAAAACAAGAAATAATTATTGATATCACACAAGCACATATAATACTTCTTCCTTTCATTATATAAACTATAAATAAGACAATTTAAAAAGAAAATTAAAAAAAGGTATATGTAGCACGGCAAAATGATGTACGTTGGTGATAAATATCTGTCACTCGCAATGTTCTTATTTTTGATTGGATTAAAAAACTTGACAAAAAATATAAAAGTAAATGATTGGTTGATGTTTGAAAACCCAATAATTTCATTGGTTATAATTTATTATTCTAAGAAAACTAAATCATGTGTTTAACTGTTTTTCAATATTAAGCTAGTAATCGCTTCGTATTAGTTGTATATTATTAAATTATTATAATATAATTATTTTTATTTATTATAAATGTCGTTAAATTCTTTTGATTACTACGAGTTTCTTGGCCTCACTATTGATGCTACCGATAGAGAAATTACTAGAGCATATCGGAAAAAAGCAATTATCTATCATCCAGATAAAAATAAAAGCGAAAGCGCAAAAACTGTAATTTTATCACAATTATCGGCGATGAAATATTTATATATTCTTCTATTTATTATTATTAATTTATTATTATACTAAAGTTCTATGATATTGGCTTTATTAATTATTTTCGGGGAAAAGCGTTTATTTTATAAAATATTAAACGAAAGTGCAAATACTGAATTAATAATATAATAACGGCGAAATTAATTTTTTTTTTTTTATAATTATATTTTTTATTATATATAACTATTAATTGTTTATTAATAATATTTACAAGATTTTTCAAGATTTGGCTAAAGCGTATGAAATTCTTTCGGATCCAAAAGCTCGTGCTGCTTACGATGTTGTTAAAAAAGTGAAGGTGCTTTAGTTATTATTAATTTAATTATTTATTTTAGTTAATTTTATAGTATGTTTATTTAATTTTTATTTTAACTTTTATAAATTATTAGAACTAAAAACAGAAATTATATAATATTGATTTAGTTAGAAAAAAAGAAAAGGGAGTTACAGTTATCCGAAAAAAGAAGAAATTTAAAAGAAAATTTAGAAAAAAGAGAAAAGGAAGCAGAAAAAAACAAAAATAAGAAAAGTAAATTTAAAATTTATTTTATTATATAATTATATTGTTATAAATTAATATTGTTTACTATTTTTAAAATTGTAATTTTTATTTTTTAAGTAAAGTGTAATATTTTTAGCGAATTCATTTTAATTTATATTCTAAAGCTATAATATTTTTTAGTAAGGGAATTTGTTATGAACATCTTTTTAATTTTTTTTACTTTTAATGCCGTATTTACAAAATTTATACACCATATTTTTCTTTTCTTTCCTTTTTTTTCATACGTACGTAAAACTTATAATTAGTTTAAAAATAATGTTTGGATTTCTTCTGAAATAAAGCTGGTTTATTTTAGCATTTGTTCTATTTTATATTTTTACCAACAATTTTACCGAAAATTAATTTACTGAATTTTGGGGGGAAAACGCTTATTATTTTTAAATACATTTATTTTATATACTACATTAACTTCTCACTAAATTTTGATGTTTTTATATGAAATCTGGCGAGTTACCTTTTTTTTCGTGACTACTTATTATTATTATTATTTTATTAGTATTATTATTAGTGTTATTATTACTAAACTTATATTAACTCAAAAAAATTACAACATACTAATAATAATAATTTTATAAATATTTTGTTTGGCTGAGTTGAATACTAGTGTTAAATTGCATCGATAGCAACCATTTTTTTAATATTAGCATTATACTTTTTTTATTCTTCAAATAATATCTTTATTTTTTCCACTTAAAAATTTTTAAGTAATATTTTTTGTATATTATTTTTATTGTATTATTATAAATATTTTTACAAAACAAAAGAATATAGAGAAGATGATGAGAGTTTTGATTCTGATATTACTGAAGCGCAGCAATACTTTTATAAAGAAGTTGAACGTCTTCGGCAAGAAGGTTAATTATCATAATAATAATAATATAAAAAAGTGTTCATGATATTATGAAATATAAAGAAACCTTAATAATAAAAATAATACAATTTAGTAGTTATATTTTTTATTTAATAATCTCTAATTATTTATTAATACCTTATATATCCTTATTATTATTGATATTTTATATATTGCTATTATAAGGAAATACGCGTCTACAGCAAGAACTTGAACGCATGAAAGCTCGTCTCTCTTTCTATGACTTTCCTATGAAAAATCAAAGTTATAAAAGGCCTGAGGAGTATTGTAAGGTAAAGTTAAAGTGGAAAATAAAAGAAAAGGTTTATTATTATTATTATTATTATTATTATTATTATTATTATTATTATTATTATTATTATCGTTATTAGTATTAGTATTATTATTAGTCGTCATCGTCATCGTCATCAACATTATTATTATTTATCATTTATTATTTATAGAAATTTACAGCACATGAGCTAAAAAGCTATTTGGAAAGCAAATATGGCCTTGTAAAACACGTGGTTGTATCCATGAGATCCACTGGCACTGCTGTGGTGGAATTTGAGGACTTTTCTAGCGCTGTTATTAATTATTTTTAATTATTATTATTATTATTATTATTATTATTATTATTATTATTATTATTATTATTATTATTATTATTATTATTATTATTATTATTATTATTATTATTATTATTATTGCTGTCGTTGATGATGATGATGTTGTTATTATTATTTATTATTATTATTAATTATATTATTAGAAAGCAATTATGTTTATAAGTTTCAGTAATAACAATTCTTTTATAATTTTATTATTATTGTATTTTTCTTATCGTTACTTTTTATTATGATAATAATATTTAATATCTTTATTGTCTAATTTTTTTTTCACTCTTTTATCATACTCTTTAAGTTTTTTATTTTTTGCGATTTGTAATATTTAAAAACAATTATAATCTTTATATATTTCACTGAATATTATTATAAATACTTATTTTATTAGGAAAATTACATTCCTTAAACTTTCAGTCTATCTCTAAGTTTCCCATTAAGTTTTGTGTTTTGTTTACTGGTGATATTTTATACTTTTCATCTATTTTAGCTCTTAATGATGCGCGCGAAAAATTGTATTAAATTTTAGCGCCAAAATTTTTTGGATAAAAATAATTAATTTTTTTATGAATAAAGAAGTTATTCTGCGCAACTTTTGTAAATAGGTGTGCCATTAGCCAATCATTTTTTGCAGCTAAAATTTTGTCTGTAAGTATGAATTTTTGTAAAATTTGGCGCTTATAATAATTTTTGTGCTAAAGTTTTTCTATTCTTGACAAGCATATATATAGTCGCGCTAATGTATATAGCATCTACATTTATATTTTAGCGCCAATTTTTAATTATAAACAGCAACATGCAGTTAGTGATTCTCAAGAATCGATTCGCGTAGCTTGGATTATTGAACCGCCTTCCTTGGACTCTTTTCTGCAATGCGAGAAACGGAGCGAGTTATTAACCAATAGTGGAAGTACGAGATTTGAGCAGTTCGAAGCAATGACACTTTTGAAAATGAGACAGTCGCAAGATTTGCGTAATATTGCTTTAGTAAGATTGCATGGAAAATAATGAACAAATTCTAATAATAGCAATAAAAATTACGAATAAGCATTAAGAGTAATAATAATAATAATTCTATTCAGTAATTTTTATACTAACGAATCAGAATACGACTTTAGTTATTCAATTTTTTTAGTTTTTTTTTTTTCCCTGCTTATGTTATGAGAACTCGTGAGTGGGAAAGAATATTAATATTATTATTGATAATATTTATAATTTTTTTAAATATTTTATATTAACGGATTAAAATACGGTTCCTTCGTTGCTTTTGTGATTCCAATTATTTAGTGAGTTTTTCTTCGATTATTTTATGAGAACACGTGAGTTGAAAAAATAATTATAATAATTTCTTTTTAAAATTTTCATGCTAACGAATTAGAATATAACTTTTTTTATTCAAATTTTTTGGTGATTCTTTGCCTGATCTCCTTTATAAAGATCACGTGAGTTATTGCTAAAAACTTTGTTTTTACTGCCGAACTGCTTTTGCTTGCAAAAAAAAGAACGCATAATTTTATTTTAACTATTTTGCAGCATTTGGTATATTGTGGGAACTATTTTGGCACTTTTATTTATATAGTGACCCAATTTCGCGGCTCGTTTCACGTGTTTACAACTTCAAGAAGTTGTGTGATATGCTTAATGCCAATCTTTTTTTTGCTTTATTATAATTAATATTTAATGAAGTATATAAGTATATATAAAGCTTAAATGCTTTTTATTATCTCCTTTTCATTATTTATAAAAAAAAAAAATTCAACTTCATAATTTTTATATTTTTCATTAAAGAAAGGGGATTTAAAATTTAATGAATTACAATAAGCACAAAAAAGATATTTTTAATAATTGTTTTTATTTTCATCCGTTAAAAAAAAACGAAGTTTTTATATTTATTAAAAAAAGAAAAAAGGGACTAATTTTAAAAAAAGTGTAAAGAGCAAAAAAAAAAATAATAATTACTTTTTATTGTTTGTATTGTATATATATAAAAACACTTCAACTTTATTGTCATTTTTATATTTAGTTAAAAAAAAAAAGGGGCACAAGGGAAGCCTAGACTCCTTGCTCGAGTCTCCAGCGGCCATGCGTTTAAGGCAAAAAGGGGAAAGAGGTTTCATTATTATTGTTGCATGCAATAATTTACGTGAAAATGTTGTGTTTTTTTTTTTTTAATTATAGAGCGGCTTATTAAACAGTTGCAGGAAGAGGAAGAAGAAGAAAAATAAAAGTTGAGTGAATATTGAAAAGAAAAAAAATTTTACGGAAGCAGAAGTAAAGGTGCTAGTAAAAAAAAAAATTTGTAAAAAATTTGAGAAAGTAAAAGTTTTAAAATAGTAATAAATATAGTCACGGAAAAAATAAAATAGTAAAAGGCATCTGAACATTGATAGGAAAAAAATTAATTTATTAAAGGTTTACTGAAGTGAAAGTAAAGAAAAAGTTGTACAAGGTTGAGAAAAAAAAAAGTGTGAAAATAAAATAAAAACTTTAAATAAGTAATCAAAGTTAAGTAAAAAAAAGAAACAGAGTAATAAGAAATATATAAGTAAATAAAGAGATTAGGAAGGTTTTTAAATAAATATATATTAAAAAGATTCTTAATAATTAAGAAGAAAAAAGGCGAGTTATTATTTGCTGTAAATAAAAATACCCCGTATACTTTTTTATTTGTTACTAAATACAGTTTTGTATGTACTCTAGTTTAGAGTCATTTACTATTTTTAAATTCTTCAAAATTTGAGTTCTTGTTCGGGAAGGTTAGAAATATGCTTGCAAGAAAGCTAAATTAAAGATTTCAATTTTTTGGTTCGAAGGCAGCTTTTGAAATAATAATGATAATAATATCAGTAAATATAATATTCTTATTATAAAAAGTTGCCCCATTTTTAACTTCCGTCGATCTTGCAGCCGCCGTGTGAGTATGGCTGTTAAGCACTACAATAACCAGACTAGTACTTACCGTAGATGTACAGAATTAATTCGCCTTGCTGTACTAGGAAGGACTTTTACCGTCAAATCTATAAAGGATAGTAGTCTGCCTAGCATTAGAATAATATTTGTAAAGGTCATTCAGTAGAAGGTTTTGGCGAGGTGGCTTGTAAGAAGGTGTGATGTTTACTACATCCTATCTGTGAAGATGACAATAGAGGCCAGCTCTATCAGTTTGCGGGTCGGGGTCACCATCTACGGTCAGAGGTGCCCTTAGTTTTTAGTTTTGAAGCTTAAGAGGTATCCGTATCTACAGCTACTAGGGAGGCATGAGAGACTCGGACTTAGTTTAGAAATAGCAAGCCTACGAATTGCGACTATGGTGCTTTCTCTTGGAGGGCAAGCACCCGAAAAGTACCAAGTTGCGGAACGCACTCTTTGCAAGAACTACTTTTATAATCGACAAGAAAGTATCACAATCGTGCAGGAACAATAATTCGATTTCATGTGGGGTTTCTTAACACCTTAGTCTATGTTAAAGACAAATCACTAGTCAGATTTAGTGCAGTTATTTTTTTAATTCTCTTCTTGATTGTTCTTTATTAAAAAGAGTAGTGTATTTTTGTCTCTGTGGGGTACCCTTAGCCACTGGTTAAGAGTTAAAACGTAAACCCTGTTTCATTAGCTGATGTTATCGAATTATTAAAGCCAGAATTCACACTAGATCATTTTTTTTTAAATCATGGTTACCTCTACGCCTAACTACCGTTGTTGTTATCCACAACTTAAAGGTTCAGTGTATAAACTTATTTGAATAATCCCGCTTCTACCAGTTATTTATAAAGCTGAATTGTCACTTATGCAATAGAAAATTTTTACAGGTAACGCCACAAAATCCTGGTATATGGAGACAAGCTCTCCACGCTCGTCTTGAGGCATCGCATGTGCTGTAGGCACTCTTGGTTATAATTATATTTTTTATATATTAACTTCCTTTAGTGCTAAATGCATCTGCTATGGGCTTCCTTGCTAACGCTGCCAACCCAGCGAGATTAATCAAGTGTCATGGATATAAATATAAATCTAGGAGATTTTCCCTCAGCTCTGTAGGTGCTTCTTATGGTGCGTGAAGGTCATATTTGCTCGGGAACCGCGTGAATATGTATGTATATGCTAGGTAACCACACTATTTACTAAAACGCGAATGCCCCGGCTGTAGCTAATTCGCTATAGGTAGGCACCTGTTGTACGCTGGTGCAGTTATTAATAAACTCGGATTAATGAGTCTGAATCTATTATATTAATAGCACAGATGACTTTGGAATAAGGTGATTGTGTTGAAGTTATCAGGGCGTCATCACAACCAACCTTGCACGGAGAGCTTTCGGTTGTGCTTACTTGCTCAAAGGTGTAGTTTACGACGCAACTTGGACAGTCTCACCAAGGCTCTTTATCATAAGTTTCAATAGGGGGGCTCTGCATGAAAATAGCTAGCAGCGACAGGCAATGGCTAGTATATCGCTGCAAAAGCATCAAACTAAGCCGCCACTAAAGGTCATATCATTCTAGGGGAAAATACCCTGTAAGATCAAACTCAAGGGAGTTTCTTACCGATAAGCTAGACTTGAGAAAAACAGGAATATAGGCACCTGCTTGGAGGCTTAAGCTTAAACAAAGATATTACCATTGTTAGGAGCATCTCTTTGAAAACGAGGATTTTTTAGTCATAGTGCAGACAACACCTAATAATCTCATAGAAAGTTATCATAGTGGCGGCTGTACGGTTGTTTATGAATTCTTTTAAGTAGTTCAGGCTGCATTAGCCGATCATAGAGATGGTAGTCGTAGAGGGGGGCCTGGCCAAGGAAAGTAGAACTTGACTTGCCACTAACATTTATTTTCGCCCTCCCAATAGATGGGTTGGCCTTAATCTGGCTAACTGTTTAAGGGTATAAGTTATGCAGGTATTGGTGCGTTATTTAACTAAAGCTGGACCCCATAAAGTGTTTTTTGATGCCCTCAATTATGTGTTATTAACCAGTAAAACAATTACTAGTGTTACTAAAAATGGAATTTTAAAAAAAAAAAAAAAAAAAAAAACTAGCGTTAAATTCAAGATAGCTTTGTATTGGGATGAGGTAATCCTGTGTTTATTTTTACTAAAGTGGACAAAAAAAAAAAATTAGGTTTCTCTCTTGGATATGTAGATTCTTGTTGTGCGGCGGTCGCAGACCCAGGACCAAGAACGAGTCTACTCCGTAAACCAGGATTTCCATCCCGACTCAGCTAGGTACTCTGTACCGACGGTTAGGTGGAATAGGAAAAGAGAGAAACTAATTTTTATTTTTCCGTACTACCTTAGATGGGGAAGCTAATTCCCATTTTTATGTCTGTTAACTAGTGCATTGTGTTCTACTAAAGTAGAATTTTACTATAGTTTTACGTGGTAAGACTTCCATTAGAATCGGAAAAAACTAGTTCGTATCTAGTCACAGCTTCACTATCTTGTAAATAGTTATAAAAACACGTGTTAATGTGTACATGATTTAATCCACCTTCTTTTGCCATATAAGCGCTCATTTTGGTAAGTAATATAGTTTAATAATTAAACTTATTTCCTGGTTCAAGGAGGTGTTTCTTAGAAAAAGAAGGGCAATGCCAATTTTTATTCCCGTGAAAAGAGTCCTAAGCGTTCGTATTCTTGTAGAAAAGTCCACCCGCATTCGAAAAAGAGTATTTTTGTTAAGCATTCGTAAATTTTTTTTAATTTTCTAAAAGTTGCAATAATGTCTCAAAAAGCAAAGTGTTTTTTTTCTTTTTTTTTGTAAATAGTCAAAAGATTTAAAAATTTAGGAATGAGACTATTACGAATTTGGTTTTAGATAAGAGTTACTAAATACAAAAAATTAATTTTAGATAAAATTAATTCTAGTCCCTTTACTTTGTTATATTTTGTTAGGTTTAAATTAATATCTCTTTTTTCTATATTTTCGGGACATGTTTCATATACTGGAAGTTTAGAATGTTCTGGATACTTTACAACCTTTTAAGAATGTTAGAAGGCTTTTCGGTACGCTTAGCTAAGTCGTCATATAAAGTTCGGGGTTTACTGGGGAGGGAAGGTAATGCAAATGCATAGGAGGCGATAAATCGTCAATGCTGCCTCGTCTACCCTAAGGTTATTACATTGAATATGATTACAGTTCTAATGATCCGCATTTGGTCTCTTCGCCAAAAAAATAAAAATTTCAACTCTGGTGCCTGTTGGCGAGCATGACTAAATAACACTGTAGATTTGCGCAATAAGGTAGGCGACTTTAACGAGGAGTAAAATCGCCTAATTCATCTGCTTATAAGGCTACTGGCGTGTAAAAAAACTTTTTAATTTGTGGCGCGTTGCGCACATAAATGGAAAAAAAATAAAACCTTATGTGAAGGTGGTCAAAGAAAGCTTCTTGAAACTCCTTTTAATAGTAGCTTTAAAAGTGAGTGAGCATTGCTCATACGTATATCAAAGATACGATTATTCAGGTAAGATACGAGGAAGTTAAAAAGAGCAGGCGGGAGAGTTAAAGCGAGTGATCTGTGAAGCAAGCTCCTGGGACACACTTAATCATACACTTTTTGGTCATCAAAATAAAACGGTACCGGAGCTGACGCATCGCTAAATATATTCTAGCCGTAATTCAAATTGGGATTTTAGAGGGGTGCTTGACTTGCGTCAATAAACGCTAATAAGTGGCGTGTTATGCGGTTCACCTACTTTTCCTACTGCTGACCAGAGGCTAACAGGTTGGTATTTTATTATTACGCGGAAAAAAAGCAAAGCCTCTTTAACTCACGAGGGAGCACACTGGCACTCACCCTCCCCCAGCTACTGGCTTTTAAAGAAGGCAAGGGAATTCCCAGCTCTCTCCCTACGTACAATCCTAAGGTCATCGTAAGCAATCCGTCAGGGCGGCCGCATTGTAAACTATGTAGCGGAGGAAGTTAAGAGGACGACACAAACTTTGTATCGTTGCCCCGTGGTGCCACATTCAAACTTGCTTTGCGCACCAAGGTGACGTTTGTATGTTTTGGGTATTTGGCTATGAAAAACAAGTACTGCGAGTCATCACAGACTCGTTCTGGTTTGTCCAAAACGCTGAGTTACATTAAGTCCTTTAGCATGAGCACCTGTCTTCTGCTATACAAGGCGATGCTCTCACTACCTACCTACGAACGGCTAATCAAGCACCCCTAATGGTTAATGGCAGAAGAGCTTAATTTTACAGTTTTGTTGTATATCGATAATCTAGTTTAGAATTATTTGTGAAATTATGTGATTGTGCTTTACTGCAAGTTTAAAAAGGCTTATTTGAACCCTTATTGGAAGCTTGAAAAACCAGGAAAATTTTGGTTATATATAAAGAACAGTAGCAGCAGGAATACCAAATAAATACCCATTCACTTGTAAACACTTATTTCTCATTGACATTTAAATTGGAGATATAGTACCTAAGAGGATTTTATGTAAACTTTGCTTTCAATAAACTATTATATCGAAGGCAATAAATCTATTTAAAAAAAAATTGCTAGTTTGAGATCTAGAGAACAAACACTATTGTTTTTACATTTAAGATTTATCTTAGCATAGATTAAAACACCGTTAAAAATTTTTTAAATTAGAGGAAGCTGAAGAAGAGGCCGATAATTATAATGTAGCCGGTTCTAAAGGCTACTGGTGTTTTGAAAGCAGAAAAAGTTCTTTTATAACTCCTTTATTATGTACTTTCAGTGTGTAACTGTTATTAGGAAATCAAAAAATTTGAGGTAATTTCCGTTTTAAGCCGGTATGATCATCAGGATCAAAGTAAAAGGACGCTACAATTAAGGTCGTAAAAAGAATTATATGGAAAAGTTTTGTTTTATTCCGTTTACAATTTAAAGAAGTATTTCAATGACTTCGAACTCATAATAACATTGTGATTTATAAACTTAAGGAACTTTTGGGTTTGTGCGTAACTAATAACTTATAAAGTCTAGCCTCTTTTGGTTTCTTGAATTTAATAAGAGGATATTACTTATAAGGAGCCATTAGTCATTAAAAATAATAAATTTTATTCGAATAACAATACAAAATTGCTCAAATAAATTTCTTTGATAAACTACTTACTAAAAGAGGGCACTACTTTCTGCCACGAAAAATTTTTTTAATCTTCTTTAGTGAAATTATGTTTGTTTGTTTTTTTTTTTTTTTTAATAAACATTTGTACTATTTTGTTTATAAAATTTTAAAATTTTTGGTATACAGGGAAAAAGAAATCCTTAATACTTTTTATTAAATTATAATTTAGTGACTAGACCTAAAAATATTTTAATAGTCGAGGGGGAGAAATAGTATTTAAAATGCGCTTATTCTTAATTCGAGAAAGTCAAGTTTAGTAGTTAGTTAAAGGACACGCAACAACTCCCCCATACAAACTAAGGAAGTGCGCATCAGAAATTGGTAAAAGTAGTAAGAAGGAAGAAAAAATATTGAGAGGTTTGAAACACAACCTTTATGTGCGCAAATAAGTAAGTAACATTAGACCAATAGTAGCAGAGAGTATAAAGTAGTTAAGATTCTTAGCTTGATGGTCAATAGAAATAATTAAATAACACCCATGCTGAAGATATGTTATCTTTGCGACAAATAACCACTCCCTGTAGTTGTATACTTATAAAAATAATGGTCCGGACTTAGCTTGTTAATTATAGCAACAGGTAAGTTTTACTCCTTCAAACTCACAGGCCCAACGGATGGCATTAAATGTTCCACAACTTCTAAATCTAATATTTTTAAGCTTTCCAATTTTTCAAACATCTCCAACTATTATTTTTGTCTTTTGTATAAGAGAGTTTCCATGTTTGTGTTGTTCTTTTATTTCATCCTTTCTTCACTACTAATTTGTTGATGTTGTGGACATAAAGATACCGCCCCCTCTCTCTTGTCCGATCTGCTACCACCAATAGAATCAGCTGCTTTTCGAAATTAAGACAATATTTTGCTCGTCGTTTTAAACCTAAACCTTAATTTTCAGTATTGTCAGTAGAGGTTATGCTCTTTCAAATTTTAAAGGTTGGAACAAGGAGCAATCAAGTTGTAAGTGCTTTTCATTGCGAGAATTCGTACTGGGTCAAGCCCCAAATTAAATTGCCTGAGCACATTATACCGATTTAGAAGAATGTAACTGTGGCGATGGAAAGCATCCTAAAAAATAAGGTGTTTCATAGGTTTATAACACATCAAAGCTAGCGAAACCAACAATCGTTTGAATTAATCAGTATCTCAGGAAGGCTTACATGTGCGACAAAGGCTGGAAGGAAGATCAAGAGTGGTGAAAATAATATTTTTGTATCAGTAGTTTGTTGTAACTTTAGTGGAAAATGAATTTTTTTTTTTTTCAATTACTGTTACGCATCATCATGTATTTAGAATAAACTGAGTTTATTTTGGTATTATTTATTAAAAACAACGTAAATATAAAAAGTAACTTGGGGATTATATATTCCATCTTTGTTTAAAATGGCGTAGCTTGGTCCCCGAAAGTTAAAACATTTTCCTTCGTCTCTTAGAAGTTGTTATTAGCAACATACGAGGGATCCACGTTTTGGTGTAAATTTTTTTTTTCCCAATACTCCTTCATAAATCACTCTTAGAAACTCAAAAAAGGGTTATAGATCAGAAAAAAAATTTTTTTTTAAGTTTATAGGTAAAAACTTTGGCAAAATTAAATTTTTATACAAGTCTATGTTTAATGAACCCAATATATCGTATATATGCTTCATAAAATAATTCTAAAAACACATTTAGTAAAAACCACTTAAATCCTATGTATTAGTGAGTACAAAAATCCTTCTTAATAAGTTTTGTGACAAAAGAATAAATCATTTCAGACATTTCAGGCAAATAGGTATAGTATTAAAACTCTTAATAAGATTGCTAAAATAAATCACAATATATTATGGATCACAATAATTATACTTTTAAATTTATTATAAAAAAAAAGGGTTAGTTAGAACCTTGGCTATTGACGTATAAAAAAATTTGTTAAAATAAACCATAAAAAAGTTTTAAGGCTTGATAACATTTTTTTATTTTTACACACTTTCTAAGCAAAGCTCAATATTATTGGGATAATATTAATTAAATTCACATGAATTGGAAAATGTTTTTTTGCTAGCCAGACTATTACGCTTTGAAAGGGTGCAAGTTAAAATAGCGTTTATGCTTAAACTAGCTAAAATTTGAAATAGGCTCGTAAAAAATCTAATATAGTAGAGTACTGGAATCAGTAAACTTTCTAAAGCTTACTCTTACACTTATTAAGTGAAGCGCAAGATACTAAGGAATAAAAACTTGCAAACCCTTGGGTTTAAAAAAAAAAAAGGCAAAGCTTCTAACTACTAACAGCCGTACAAAATCTTATAGAGTAGTATAACAACATAGCAACCAATAATATATCTATGAAAAACAATGTGGCAGCGAGAAAGTAGGGCAAAATCTTTATTTCCTAAAACCTAAATAGTAAATTAAATAACTGCTAGTAATAGCAATTATTTCATGTTATTTCTGTTTTTGTATCCAGTAAGTACGGGCCCTATATTATTCCATTTTAAAGAGGAAAGCTTTGCCGGCAGTCAAGTCGCTCGTTTGTAAAAAAGTATTCCCCGCACTGAGCAAAATAACGTAACATTTTTTTAACTGCACCCAGTAACAGGAAAGTCATTAGGATGGTTTTGGTTTTGTGGTTCCTCCCGTATCGTATGTATGCAAAAAAATGTATAGTTGTAATAAAAATTTTATGAAAGCTCTATTATTTCTGGAGTGTAGCAAGATCATAATAAGGAAATCTCAGAAGGAAAGTTAAGAACCAACTCTCACATATATGTAATTCTATATATAAGTAACGAAGCAAGTCTGTCGCATGAAAAAAAGTGCTCGAAACAATTTTAAACTACGAAAAAAAAAACTTTTTTTTTATTTTTATTTTTATTTTTAAAGCATTCTTTTACCTAAGTTTAACTGGTCTCGAAACTCTAAATCTAAGTAAACAGTATTAGCGCATTAACTCAGTAATTAATTATACAATTTACACTAAATTACCGAACAAGCTCTAATATCACTAACATATGAGCCACTACAAGCAAGTAAACAACCAGGGAGTAACTTTAGTAATTAAAGCTGCAGGGAAAAAAAAAAAAAAAAGAGGCTGCGCAATCCATTATATTAAATTGCTTGTGCACACCCTCTTTCTCCAAGTGTCTTAGAGAGACAATAAATAAAATTATTCTTTGTACAAATAGAGGGGCGCGCCTGTGTTCGACTTAATAAGTTTCTGCAACACCGGTTAAAGAGCCTGACTGTGAGTTAACTTTGTCCTTAGCGGTAACTAAAAGAAAAGACAAACATTGAGTGCAGTAAGATTTGTATCTTTTTCATGCTTGTGACTGTTGTTGACTAGCAAAGGTGCGCGTGAGAAGGTGCGCGTGGAAAAACCTAGTAACGCACATTACCACATTTAGTTAATTATATATGTATGATGCCAACGAACCGCACGACCAGTTACTCTTTTCTTATCTTTTTATGTCAGTTGGGGGCGCAGTTGCAGAGAATATTCCAATAAACTTGCTACCTCCCTTCATATTGATTTTATAGTTATAAGTGCTACAGTCAACTCGAACTAGGCGAGCGGAAGTATTTAACTGACACTGTAATAATATAGCAACCACAAAAAAAAAAAAAAAAAAAAACCACACAAGCAACTATATGTGCGCCTAATTGTAGCATCATTAATTTTAATATGTGCCGATGCGCTGATTCCTGCCCTCATTACGCGTAGTGTAATATATATACTAACTATAGTGTCTACGCCAATGGTGTGGAAGTAAGAAAGAAGCAAAAACTGGGTCAACTGAGTTGCTTTACGCTCACACTCCTACGATATAGAGTGCGGTAGGAAGCACGGTTGTACCAAGCATGGATATACAATCTTCTAAAGATTATACACATGATTTGGTTTTCATAATAGCTCTCATTGGCTATAATTATAACAAGATCGCACAATCCTCTCCAAGCGCACAGCATACTGTAGCCATTCTGTTGTGACTGGCTGTATCTCTTTTAGATTGTGGTAATTAGGTATGTACTGTTGCACTTTAATTGTCGGTTTTAAACACCGGAGGATGACGTGTGCCTGATATCTAGGGCATATAAATGTCTAGTGGCAAGGGATTCTTTGCTTGGTGGTGTGCTGTGCCTTTTCCCTTTTTGCTGTGTGCGTATATCCCTGGTATTCGTACTTATCCAGTCTTAGCTAATTCTGTTTTATATACACTAGGAAGTTTGTGTTTCTTGTGTGCGATTATCAAAACATATGTACAATTAACATGATAATTTTTTTTTTAGAAGAAACCTTTATTATAGCTCGGAAAACTCTGTAGTCATGTTAACACTAAAAAAAAAGATGTAAGGGTCTACCTTTATTTTATAAATAAAATTTTTAAATAAGTGTTGCTAATTTATCACTGTACAGGTTGACCTTCTTGGTTCCGGCCTTGTTTGCTCTCTTTCAGTCGGTGAGTGCTCAAACTGTAAACTTGGGGATCTTCACTAGCGGAGGTAGTCATGGAATTAAGACAGGAAACGTCTTACTTAAAGATGATAAGACATTGATTGTAAACGGGTTCCACTATGATGGCCGTGCACCTAAATTAAGTTGGATTCTTAGTAATTCCGAGAAAGTCAAAAATTTAAATTCAAGTGAAACACTTTCGGGAGAAGAATATGTCATTATACAAACCGAAAAAGGTAGTCAGACTATTTTGGATGCTTACACTAATGCAACTATAACTTTAAAGAGTAAAAGTGACAAGTTCACAAGCTATAAGTATTTGGCATTATATTGCTTTGGAGTTACGCAAACCTTGGCGTACCTTAACCTCAAGGCGGAGGGTAACAATAAAGCGAATAATGAAAAGTTTCCGTCTGACGGAGTTGGTGAAGCGAAAAGTAAAGACTTGGGGATCTTCACTAGCGGAGGTAGTCATGGAATTAAGACAGGAAACGTCCTACTTAAAGATGATAAGACATTGATTGTAAACGGGTTCCACTATGATGGCCGTGCACCTAAATTAAGTTGGATTCTTAGTAATTCCGAGAAAGTCAAAAATTTAAATTCAAGTGAAACACTTTCGGAAGAGGAATATGTCATTATACAAACCGAAAAAGGTGGTCAGACTATTATGGATGCTTACGCTAATGCAACTATAACTTTGGAAAGTAAAAGTGTTAATTTCACCAGCTATAAGTACTTGGCATTACACTGCTTCCAAGCTAAGAAAACCTTTGCGTACCTTAACCTCAAGGCGGAGGCTAGCAGTAAGCTTCGGTCAAACGGGCTGGCGACAGCGACTTGGTGTGCAACCCTGTTTGTACCCTTGGTTGGGATCGTTCTTGCCATTTTTTAGGCATGGCGTTTTACTTTTAATAAAAGAAGGTTTCTAGTACAATAAGTTCAATTTTTTAATAATAAAGTGAAAAGCTAATTTTGGTTTTTCTAATACAATAATTTCAATTTTTTTAATAATAAAGTGCAAGGTTAGTTTTTTTTAGTATACTCTAACGAACATCGATAACATTTTTTTTTTTAGAATTTTTGCATGCTGAGGGTCTAAAAGAAGTAATTGTTTATTGCCTACACAAGACCAAAGCTTTGCTAGCTATAAATATGTGATTAGGCAATATAGTAAGATTAGAATAGAAGGAAAAATGTTTTTTTACGTAAAAATTAGGTCGCTAGCTCCAAAATGTTGAGGAAAAGATCCCCAGTTCATAGATCTTAACGCAAATTATAATATTTAGGCAATTTTTTTTTTATTTTTATTTAGATTTATTTCATTGCTTAGTTGCTAGTAGATAAGGAAGGTACACGGAAAATAAACCGGCAGCCGTTTTAATTTTGTTTCAGTGCTTTTTTTTTTGTTTGTTTTAGTCATATCTGTACGCTTCTATAGATATATCTACATTTGTTTACAATTAATTTTAAAGGGTTTAAAGGTTTAGATACCGGGAAGTAGAAGTTTAAATACCCTAAAACTAAAATCTTTTGAGGATTATGACGGGCTAGAAAAAGTGGCCTATTCCTGCCCTACTGATAGGACAGCGTCCGTTTTATGGCAAACAAAAAAAACTCAATCGCATTCGCAGAAAACACTTCATAATAATCCGGCGTGCTTTCAAGTGTGTAACTTTAGAAGTACTGCTATTACTTCAGATAAAGCGCTTAAAGATAGAGCCTTACTATGTATGACTAAAAGAACAGGATAAGTGAGGTGAGTCGTGCCCTTAGTTTCCTCAAGTTTTTGCAACCGTCTAGAAGTATTTTTGTGAAAATAAAAATTATGCATTTAGTGTTAATATTACCTCTAGCCTCCTTAATTAAAATTTTATTTTTAAGTAGCATTTTTTTCTTAAGCTACTCTTCTATGTTATTAAAATGACTATTAACAAAACTTACCTAAAAAACTAAGTTGATAAACATATGCCCAGTGTGATGGCTCATTTTTTTTGCTATTACACTACGGGTTGTTACTAAAAAGCTTTTAAATTTGATGACTACAGAAGTGCAGCCCCCAAAAAAAAGGATTTTTTAAAAGTTTGCTGATTATCAACAAGCTTACTAAAATCAAAAAAATAAACTGAAGTTATGGTACAGGTGGTTATGCTTTTGCGAGAGGAAATATAATTCTTTAACCAAAAAAGACTTTGCAAAGTTTGTTTAACTTTCTTTATTTATGTATATAACCGCCAAGGAACCATTAAGAACCCTAAAGACTAATAACCATATGGGGTGTCTTTATAGTAGGAGAGTTATTTGACTGATTTTTACCGTCCATAGAAATAACAAGACTCTTTGTTTGCAACAGTTATATTAAGCAGGAATTGAAAGTTTTTTTCAGAAGGCAGGAATACCTTGGCATTTTTAACTCGTTTGTCCAGTTTTAAAAAAAGTTTAAAAAATCTAAATTTTAAAACATAACCGCTAAAATGGGTTATTATTAGAAACAACAAGGTAAGCATATAGCATTGCAGAGACGCTTTACTTAAAGCTCAGTGAAAACTTAGTAGTTACCACAGCATAAAATAAGTTAGTCTAGACACAGGGTTTTCTTTTAAAAATGCCGTAAACCGCCGGGGAGAAAGTCAGATACATTTAAGCAACCTCTAGCACCGAGGTGCTCTTATGTTAGCTAGTATGCAGCTACAAAAATTATAAAATACATACCTGTTACTATTGCCTAAAAAAAAAAAAATCATATTTTGTTGATATATAATTTTCATAACTTAATACTAGAAAGTGGGGGTTAGAGTAAAGTACATTAACTTTGAATATTTTGTATTGTTAATAATTTCAGTAACTATTGATCAAAAAATAAAATTCGCTTAGAAAATATATATACTTTTAAAGTATATATATTTTATTTTTATTAATGAATTTTATTTTTATTATTATATGCGTATGTTGATTTTTTATAAAATATAATAATTTTTACTGTACTCGTCATTATTATTTATATCTTATTTACTAAACAAAAAATACTATTCCGCCTTTCACATCTATAATTTTTTTATAATGGTAATTAGAAGTCAATCCATATGTAACCAGCTAACTGGATTTAGTGAAAATAAAAAATATATATATTTTTTATTACTGTTTATTATATTTAAGATTTTTATTTTTATTTTTACAAGTGCAATATTTTTAGCGAATTCATTTTAATTTATATTCTAAAGTAATAATTTTTTTTAGTAAGGGAATTTGTTATGAACATCTTTTTAATTTTTTTTACTTTTAATGCCATATTTACAAAATTTATACACCATATTTTTCCTTTCTTTCCTTTTTGTTCATACGTACGTAAAACTTATAATTAGTTTAAAAATAATGTTTGGATTTCTTCTGAAATAAAGCTGGTTTATTTTAGCATTTGTTCTATTTTATATTTCTACCAACAATTTTACCGAAAATTAATTTACTGAATTTTGGGGGGAAAACGCTTATTATTTTTAAATACATTTATTTTATATACTACATTAACTTCTCACTAAATTTTGATGTTTTTATATGAAATCTGGCGAGTTACCTTTTTTTTCGTGACTAGTTATTATTATTATTTTTATTTTTACTATTATTATTTATATATTCATTAATTATTTTAATTGTATACCATTTTTTTCGTGACTAGTTATTATTATTATTATTTTTATTTTTACTATTATTATTTATATATTCATTAATTATTTTAATTGTATACCATTACCGTTATCGTTATCGTCATCGTCATCATCATTATTATTTATAAAAATTTACAGCAGGTGAGCTAAAATTTATTTGGAAAGCAAGTATAGCTTTGTAAAGCACATGTTTGTGTCCATGAGATCTACTATCACTGCTGTAGTGGAATTTATGACTCTTCTGACGACCAACAATAAAAGTATGGCCCGTATCAGCATTAGGGAATCATTAATAATCATGTGGCCTTCCTATTTATAGGTATCATTAAAAAAGTGCTTGGAGGAGTTATTCAATGATCATATGATAAATATTGTAATTGGGGGATGCGATAGTGGACAAATGAGGATTGGCGCCCACGTAAAGAACCATCTTGACGATAATACCCAGAAATTTAGTAGACAATAAATTTTGTATAATAATAGCTAATATAAATAGTAATTGTATTAATAAATAATATTTTTTAATAATAAATGATATACTCTATAAGACGAGGCATTTCTAATTCTTTCTACTCCATAAATTTTAATCTATTTGAATTTTTAAAACTTTTTTTCTTTTATTACTATTAAGTTAAAAATAGCACTCTTTATTATTTTTCATAGCAATTTCTACCAACATGTTCATCACAAGTAAAATTTATAAGCTTTTTTAATCTTTTATAACTATAAAAGTTAAATGTCAGCTTTTTTTTAGGAGTCATGTTTATTATCTATTTAAATAAAAGATTAACTTTAAATTTATTTGATAACTAACTAAAAAGTTTAAAATTTTAATATACTCAAATCTAACTTTCCTTTTAGGCGTACGTACTCCGCGCTTTTTGTTGTGGAACTCAACTTTGAGTTAGTAAAAATATTATGCTCATTATAAATTTAATGCTAATATTTTTAATAAATACAATACATTCTATTAAATAATCTCGTTGGGAAAAAAATATATTCGTCGTACTAAAATTAAAGAGAATTTTTTATAGGGAGAGAACTAAAATATGATTTTTTAAAAAATTCTATTTCTTTATATGAATTTATTTTTATCATATTAAAGTAAATGTTAAAAATTATTTTTGTAATAAATTTTAATTAAGTAATCTCTACAAAAAGCGTTATTGACGTACTCATTTTCTGAAAAAAATTGTTTTGGTACTAAAATTTATTATATAATAATTATTTTTATAGTAAAATTGAAGCAAAAATAATAATTGTGATTTAATTTTTTACTAAAATTAGGAAAATCAAACATTATCGTTAAAAAATAATAAATAGTAGTACTTATTTTTAAAAAAAAAACTCTAAAAAAATAGTCTTGTACTGAATTTATTGTTAAAATTATTTTTTAAACTAAAATAAGGAGGTATAAAAAAATATTACACTTAGTTTAGAGCAAATAATATATGGTCTAAGTTTTACAAAAAAAGTACACAAATCATCGTAAAAATTTATTTGGTACTAAATCTACTGTGAATACTCTTTTTGGGACTAAATTTAATATTGTAAAAAGTAATACAATAAATTATTCTCTAAAAGAAAAATTAAAATCGTCGTAATAATTTTAATGCAAAAATATAATTGTAGTATAATTTTTATTAAACAAATTCATTCAATTAAAAAAAATTAATGGAAATTATTTTATTTTTCTAATTTTTTAAATTTATTTTGAGGCAATTATAATTTTTGTTTTTCTAATTATTTCTTTTTAATATAATTAAAAGTAAATATTATATTTTCTGTTATTTAAAAAAATTATTGTATAATATTATTAAGGTATAATATTTTTTTGATCCATTTCTTTAGAAAAATATAAATTGGCACTAAATTTAACGTTAAAAATAATTCATAATTTCGTATTTTTTTTAAATCGTTATAAAATTACTTTTGTGGTTAAGAAAGTGATACGCTCAGTCTATTTTAATAAAAAAAACTATTTTTGTAGTACTTAAAAATTTTGGATGAAAATTATTATTACAAACAATCTTTTGGTTTTTAAAATTTTTTGTCGTACTAAACTTTAACGTAAAATAATATAATCAATTTTTTGTGGTACTCAAATTTAAATTATAAAACAGTTCAACCCATTATTTTTTTAAAAAAATTATTAGTGGCGCCTAAAACTTAAAAAAAATTAAAAAGTATATTATTCTATTCTTCCATCTTACCGCATTCGACAATTGCTATACTTCCATGATTATTCGTATTGATAATTTTTACAACAGCGGCAGCGAAAAAAAGAAAAAATATATGTTTCCATAATATC